CCCTTCAGGCGGGCCAGGTGCACCTGCCCGATGGAAGCTGCGGCGAAGGGCCGCTCCTCGAAGTACTCCAGCTTGTCCCTCCAGCCGGGGCCCAGGTCGCTGTTGAGCGTCTTCTGGAAGCAGAAGGCAGCGAGGGGCCGTGAGCGCGGCCGAGAGCGCGGCCGCCGCCCTCCACCTGCCGCCGGGCGCGCCGCCTCACCATCATCTGCCGCAGCGGCATGAAGTCCGCGCTCTGCCTCACCCGCTCGAAGATCTTGGCCAGGTGGGGGTTGATGAAAGCGTCGTCTGGAAGGCACCGAGCAGGGCTCACCCCAGGGCAGGGGCCCGGCAGCTCCGGTGGGGCGGCCAGAGGCCGTCTGCCCGCTGGCGCTGCTGCTCTGCGAGCTCACGGCTGAGCCGGCAGGACCCAGGGGGTGTCCCAGACGGCGTCGGCCCCTCGCCCTGGGGCCAGGGGGGCCAGGACACGCCCCCGAGCGTGCACCCGCCCCTCCTGGGGCCACACCGAGCCAGCCTCAGCCACTGCCCCCTGCGCGGCCCCCCAAGCCCTGTCCGCCGGGTCACACAGGGCAGCCTGGGGGCTCCCCAGTAGCCTCTCACCACGCCGGGGGCGGGGGTGAGCAGCAGGACCCCTGCAAGCCTGAGACGCCAGAACCGCCTCTGGAGGGCTCAGAAGACCCCCGAAGCAAACAAAGCCCCAGGATTCAGCATGAGGAGCCGGCGGACAGAAACCCCCCGCTCGGGCAGCCGCACCCCGCTCCGCCGGGGCGCCCCGCCGCTCACCCTGGATGCTCAGCATCTGGCCCAGCTTGAGCGCCGCCCCGCGCACCTTGCACAGCGTGCTCACGATGCGCTCCGCGTTGGCCTCCGACAGGAAGGGGCTGGAGTCCAGCACGGCCCTCTTCCCTGCGGACGGGACTAGGCGCTCAGGCCGCCCGGGCTGCCCCCCCCCCGCCTCCGGGACGGGCCCAGGCCGCGCGGGGAGGGGCGTCTCCAGGGGCCCCCCTTCCTCCCTGCCGGGCCAGGGAGCCTGGGAGCGAACCCGCGGGCACCAGCGTGTGCCTCGGGCTGTCTTGGGCAGCCCCGCCTCCCAGGGGGCGCTGGGGGCGGGAATGGGGGTGAAAGTGAAGCGGAACACCCAGCAGAACCCGGCCGGCATCGTCACTGCCCCGCCCCCCATGGCGCCAGCCTAGGCCCCGCCTTCTGCCACTTGTCTCCCAGGGCGACAGCACCCGGCTGTCACCTGGGCACACCTGCATAGGCCTCGCCCTCCCCGTCCACCCTAGGGCCTGCGGGGGCCCGGAGGCAGGACAGGGAGGCCCTGGAGGGACCCGGCGCGGGGGGACCCGGGGGCGGGCCTGCCGAGCCCCTGCCTGGCGCCCAGTGGCCGCACAAAGGCCACAGCGCCCTGCGGGTCACTGCACGCTCGCCACACCAGGGGCTGCCCACGGAACCCTCCCGCGGACTCAGGGTCAAGTCGCTCTCCCGCTGCCCACTGGACCGGAGCGGTCAGCTGGCGCCTAACCTCGGGCACAGGCCCCCTTGCCCAGGGCACTCGGGGGTGGGGTGCAGGGAGCTTCCATAGTAGGGGTGTGGGAGGGCGCAGCGGAGGGGTGACAGGCCCCTGGCTGCCTCCACACCCCACCTGCCAAGCCCTGCTGTCTGGCCTGACGTGGGGAGAGAACCGTGCGGGCTCTGGGGCGCCCTGGCTGCTCAGTGCGCCCTCTACCCCCCGAATGGTGTCCTGGGGGGACGCCGGGGTTCGGGCAGCAGCCCAGCGACCGAGGTCCGGCTCACCTGTGGCGTTCTCAGGGCGGAGGCTCTTCTTGGCCACTTCGGCCAGGGCCCCAAAGCCCAGCCCCACGGCCAGACCTGCAGGAGGGGGAGGGGCGCTGGGCGGCCTGCGGGAGGCCGCTGCCCACCCACCTGAGGCTCGCCGCCCCCACACGCCCCGCCGCGCCCTGGGGGCCGAGGACACCTCATGTCTGAGGGGTCGGGCTGGGGGACGCTCGGCTGCTTTCAGGGCTGGCGCAGTAGGGGCTGTCCGGGAAACCGCCATCCGCCCCCACCGGGCCCAGCTCACAGGCACCCCGAGAACAAGGGGCGCCCCTCCCCCGGAAGGGAGCCCCGGTACCAGAGGCTCCCGAGCACCTCCCGGGCCGGACGGGGGGAGGGGAGACAGGCACGCCAGGGCCTGGAGGGAGGCCGCGGGGGGCGGGCGCCTGCCGGAGCGGAGGGCCGGTGCCCGGCCCAGCCCTGGAGTCTCCCGGGGTCGGCTGCCGGCCCCGCTCGGTCCCGGCCACCGCCCGCAGTGGTCTGAGCACCACGGGCGCTTCCCTCTCCCCCTCCGCGGCCGCGGCCGAGTCAAAGTCCATGTCTGCCTTCGGCGCGGGACGACCAGGCAGGCGCCACGCGGCCACAAGCGGCCCGGCCGCTGAGCCAGGCCAACACCACGCAGCCGGGCAGAGACCCCGCGTGGGCGCCCCCGGGGACCGCGGCTGGACACCGCTGCGCGTCTGCGTTTTCCAGCTGTCCCGCGACGCAAGGATCACTGGGCACAGAGCTGACCACACTGAGCCCAAACACAGGCGGTCACCGAGGCACAGCGTGTCCCAGGTCAGCAGACGGGCCAGTGCAGACAGAGGTGGCCCCTGGCTTCTCCAGGGCCCCCCGGATGCTCTGGCCATTTCTCGGCTGGCCCTACTGAGCCACAGCTCCTGAGGGCAGTGGCCGGTCACTTCATGAGCAGCGAAAGAGCATTCCACCGTGAGGCTGAGGCTCCCTCGGGGCGCCAGTGCCCGGCCCACAGTGCTGCCAAGGGAGCGCCCCACGGCGGCCAGGCGGGGAGAGCAGGCCGCCGGCCCCAGCCCTGCGCCAGTGGCCCAAGACGAACGGGCTCCCCCACCCGCACCCGGCTGAGGCTAGAGATTCTGAGAAGGACAGGCCAGGGCCTTTCCTGCTCCCGGAACGCGCCGTGGGGCACGACGGGCACCTCAGCTTCCGTTCCCCGGGCCCTGGTGACGACACCCCGGCGCATGCTCACTGGCTCCCTGACGCCCGGCCCCCAGCCAGCGTGGCCTCTGTTCTGACACACCTTGGCCCAGCTGGGACCGCACCAACACCGCCAGGGAGCCCGGCCAGCAGCGCCAGCCCCGTCTAAGAAAGTTCCTGACGTTTCTCTCACGGCGGTATCAGCCCCGAGCTGAAGGGCCAGCGCTGGGGAGCAGGGCTCCCCCCAAGTCTGGAGCGCGCACGCCTCCCTGTCCAGGGCGTGGGCGCTGCCAGCCCAGCCACACCGGCCCCTCACTCCCTGGCAGACCTGGAAGCCATCGGAGCCAGCGAGGGCGTCCCTCGAGCGGCCGCTGGGCGGCTGCCCAGTCAGGCACCAGAGGTCACCAAGAGGGAAAACGGAACACGCGCCAGCGAGCCGGGCTCTGGCCGGGAGGCCCGGGCGCGCCAGCGAGCAGGGTGGCTCCACCTGCCAGAGCCCGCGGGCGTTTACCAGCAGGCTCCTGGGGCCTCCTGCGGACCCCCACACGCTCGCCCACGGCCTGCGGGGCGCGGCTGGCAGCCTCGGCCTTCACCGGGCAACCTTCCCGGCGTGATGGGAGCGCGCGTCTGCAGAAAGGCCGGGAGCCACGCGGCCTCACGCTGCTCTCCGTCCTCGGCACTCCGCCCGCCCCCCCCAGGCCTGGGAACGGGAGGGTGGGCGCACAGCACAGACCCAGGAACAGGACAAGCGGCGAGGAGCCCTGCCCAGCAGCTGTGGCCTGCAGCACACTCGTCTCACTGCCTCAAAGCCAGAGAGCCACTAGCTTCCACCAGAAAAACGGGGTTCAGCACAAGCCCAGGGGAGACCGGGTGCCCGAGCCGGTATTACTGTGCGCCGCCCCGAGAGGGGGCAAAGCTGACCCCATGGACCCCTGCGAGCCCAGGGCCTCGGGCGAAGTGTCCTGACGGCACGTGCCAAGGGGCCGGGGGGCCTGGCTTCGGGTAGATGCACCGCGGTGTCCACACCAGGACTGGGCCGGCCGCCTCGACCCCGGGCCCCACCGGGGACGGGCCTGCAGGCCCAGGAAGACACCACGGTCTCGGTCAGGGCCGGACCACCACAGAAAGTTTCCAGCCTGTGGATTTCTGCCTTGTTACCGTGGGTTTTGAAAAGGAAACGAGGCTGCGCGGTTAGAATACACAGAAGGGCAGTGTGCTAGGAACGAGAGGACGGGACAGCTGACCAAGGTTTGTCTTACTTTGATGGAAGCACGAGTGCTCGGCAAAACAGCCCCACCACGCCCTTCACCCTTCAGCCCACTGAGGTGGCGTCACAGAAGCACAGCGGAGAGGAGCAGAATGACCCCAGAGAGGGCTTTGCCGGACAAACCAGCAGTAGCCCGCGTGCATGAGAGTCCTACGGAGACGGAGCGAAACAGCCTTCGGCCGACGCCCGACGCACGAGGGAGCACACTGGACACCGCGAGGGGCTCGCGGACTGTTCGCACAGCAAATTGCTTTTCGGAAGAGGCAGGCCCTGAACTGTGCACGCCCTTCGGAGCATCAGAATTCCCAAGGCCGGGCCCCCGACTCTTCCTCCTGGCCGCTCAACATGTCCCCGCAGGCTAGCTGTGTTTCCATGTGACATACTTCAAAATCCTTTCGACACAGACTCTAAACATCCGCATCTCTTCGCTTTTTATCCCCTCGCTGTCTCCCTTCTCTCTCTGCCTAATGGCATGAGTCCTGGGTCTCATCCAGAACATCAGCACGCTCACTCCTCTGGACACGTTTTCTCCGGTGCCCAATTTGTTAAAGTCTCTTTTCTATGATCAAGTTCTCCCTCACTTACAGGGCAGAGGAGATGATAAGCCATCCCGCCGAACCTGCAGAGCTGAGTCACACATAGATGTGAACGAGAGAAAAGCGTATTGAAGATGCTCAGGACAGAAGAGGGGTTCTAACGTGTGACTGGGATCCCCAGAGAGAGGAGAGAAGATAGAGCAGAAGAAGTATCTGAGTGATGACCAGAAATTTCCTAAGCTGGTGAAAGAAATCAAGTAAAAGATTCAGAAAGCTTTGCAAACCCCATGCAGGGTAAATGCAAATCCAGTCATGTCCACACATCGCAAACTACTGAAAATCAAAAGCAAATGGAAATCTTAGAAGCAACTAGAGGCAAAAAAAAATTTACTTTCAAAGAAGCAGAAACAGAGAAAACAGAGAGAAACAGAGTGGAGAGCTCAATTTTCAGTAGAAACATCTGAATTATAGGGCCACTGTTCAAAGGAAAAAATTTCAGAAATAGACCATTATACCCTGCAAACTACCTTCTTAAACAAAACAAGATTTTTTCACACAAATAAATACAGAATTAATTATCAGCAAACTGTAAGGAACAGAGAAGGGGATTTTCAGGAAAATTATACCAAAGATGATTAAAGAAACAGAGAGATGCAAAACGGGCAAGAATGTGGATACACCTGAGTCCCACGGGCCACACAAAGAAATCAAATACTGTGTGACTTCACAGCTTAATTATTCAAGCGCACAACATACGTCATGCAGAAATAACATGCATGTTCTTATTAGCACACACCCAAAAAAGAAGAGTCTACGTGACTCTAAGGTGTTCTAAGTTCCCAGCATTACGGGGACGTAGTAAAACTAACATCTGTGCTGCGCTGTAGTAAGTAAATATGCACACAGCAACCTCCAGAGTACTCGCTAGATGGCCGAGGAATGAGTGACCCACGAGCTGAGAAAGATAAATGTGTGCAAGTCATCGCTGATATTTTGAAAGAAGGTAAGACAGGAGAGGGAGAAAAGAACAGGTGGTCAAAGAGTAAACGAAAGGTCTCATGATGAGGCTCAGATGGTTAGTCCGTCCTCAAAACCCAGAAAGCAACAATATATGCTGATTAAACAAGGTACACCTTCGGTCCATAGGCCACAGGAAGGTTAGCAGGTGGAAGGGAGAAGATTCCGAACATTAGAGGGTGGAGAATTCTAACTCTGCCAGGAACAGGGCCTCATCACGGCCGCTCAAGCCCACAGAACTGAAATGAGTAAGCGAATCTGCGCTCACAGGCAGAAGACGAGGCAAATCTCTCCCTAGCTGGCGGAACAAAGATCTGGTCAACATGAGTAATAAGCTCGAGGGCGTGGGAGGGGCGGCGGGAGAGGGGCTGACTGGACACAGCAAGCTCTCCCTCCCTCTCAGGAGAACATAGGCGCTCCACCGGAAGGTCCTCTTCGGGGCCACCACTTCACAGACGGGCAAGCCACGGGGCCCGAGGCCACAGCGCCCAGCGCTGGAGACGACAGCCCGGGCGTTGTGGCGGCCCAGTGCCCGGAGCTGGCGCGCTCTTCCCTCCGCCCCTGAACTGGCCAGGATGCCAGGAGCCGCCCGTCCACAGCACCCTAGCCACAGCCAGCCAACCCCCAGACTCCTGCCCCTCCTGGGCACCAAGCTGAGCCACCCACGCTGGGGAGACCCGGTTCCCACCGCAGAGCGGGCCGGCCACAAGCGCGCCCCTGCCCCGCGGTGGCCTGTATGGCAGGAGCCTGTCTCCAGGAAGGGGGAGGCCAGAGAGCCTCACAGGCGAAGAGAATGGCAGGGCTGGCGCACCGCGAGCCGCAGAGTAAACTGCAGCGTCCGTCTCCCGGGTGAGCGGCGCTGTGCTGAGGGCCTCAGGCGCCCATGCTGGCCTTGCTCGCGGCAGTCCCTCCCGCTTGGCTGGCTTCTGGGGGATCCCGACCCAGAGAGCCCAGTTCACCGTCAGGAAACCTCTGGTGCGTGGGGCAGAGCCCGGGCAGCATCCTGGCTGGCAGCACACGCTCCTCCCCGACCGGGCTCAGCTCGCCCCGCTGCCGCTCCG